TCAGCAGGATGGTGACATGCCTTTAGAACCTCTCGAGCTCCCATATGGTTCGAACACACTATGCTACACTGGTCGGGGGAGCTCAGTGGGTCAGATTTGGGGGAGGTGGAAGAGGAACAGACAGTACTTTCTATTCTTTGCTGCTTACCCGGGCTGCCCTGGAAGTCGCCCAGAAATGCAGCTTTTGAATGGTCTCTCACATTCATGCTCGGTTTTGGCTTGCTGTCCTGAAGTTGGTGCTACGTGGAGCATCTGGGAAGTCAGGCCAGCTCTGGCAAGACTTCAGACATATGAGTATGTTCCTTCTGATAGTGCCATCTCTCTCTACCCTAGGAGGAAACTCTTCTTACAGAGAGAGGCTCATCTGCAGGTGATTCTCCAAGGACATGAGAAGATGGGTGTAAGCTGTGGAACCTAGACCCTTAAGTGGAGGGAAGCTGCTTTCTACTGTGAACGATGGCCAAACCCACCCTGAGAGGGAATGGCACTAACTCTGAGACCTTCCGACAGCGCTTCAGGAGATTTCATTACCAGGAGGTAGCTGGGCCCCGGGAGGCTTTCAGCCAACTCTGGGAACTTTGCTGTCGGTGGCTAAGGCCGGAGGTGCGCACCAAGGAGCAGATTGTAGAATTGTTGGTGCTAGAGCAGTTCCTGACCGTCTTACCTGGGGAGATCCAGAGATGGGTACAAAAGCAATGTCCAGAAAGTGGAGAGGAGGCAGTGGCTCTGGTGGAAGAATTAGAAAGAGAGCCTGGAAGACCTGGACGTTCGGTGAGCAGGGAGGGGGTATTCAGAAGTGTGTGACTGGGCAGGGGCAGGATAAAAAGCCAAATTAAGGCACAGTCAGATTTAAAGTGGGGCACAGTCTCCCTTGGTGATGCTTATACTTCTGGTCCTTTAATAGGTAACTTTTTCAGATAGAGCTTATCGGGAGATGCTACCTGGGTGTACCTTTGCTAGGTATTATAACCAGTTATTCATAGTTTCATAGTTTTTTACTTAATAGGGAAGAAAGGGGAGTTATTTTTTAGCCTGGAGTCGGGTTTACTATTTTGATCTCTTTCTTTTGTAGTTCCAGCTGCTCTAAGCTAACAGTAATGGACTAAGAAAGACCCTTGTTCACTATTAACCACCCCCTGCCCCAACCCTAGCCATGTCCCAAAAGGATGATTTCTTTTGGGGTAATAAATAATCTCCTCTGGGAATACCCATCATTATGACCTTGCAGTGACAATTCATGGGGGTTGTTTCTAGGTCACAGTCTCTGTGAAGGGGCAGGAAGTACGCTTGGAGAAGATGACACCCCTGAAATCATCACGAGAGTTATTAAGTGTTCGGCAGGAGTCAGTGGAACCCCAGCCCAGGGGTGTACCCAAGAAAGAGAGGGCAAGAAACCCAGACCTGGGACCACAGGAGCAGATGAACCCAAAGGAGAAGCTCAGACCTTTTCAAAGGAGCGGTGAGGAGTAGATTTATATGGGAAGATAGGATGCCATTCTAAATTGGGAAGTAGGGTTGGGAGTAGTGAGGGGGAAAGGGATTTCAGGAAAGAGGGGAAATAGAGTATGCAGTGTTGGGGACCTCCTGAAGGCATATAGTTTAGCTCTCTGCTGCAATTCTTATATTTCCTCTTTTGATAAGTCTGCCAGAGGATGGCTCCCTAGTTTTTCCAGAACTTGGAATTTCTTTTCTCCTGGTAATGATGACACTACGTCAGTATTTTCTAGATAAAAATTCTTTTCTATACTTGAAAGCACATTTTCCTTTTAGTCATTTTCTTTCTCCATATTAAACTATATTTGTTTCTTTCTGCTTTTCCCCAGAAGCTCCATTCTTCAGACCTACTAAGTTTTTGTTACTCTCCCTTGGAAACTTTAAGTTCTCCAAATAGCATGTTAATTGTGGAGAATTAAATTATATATATTACTCCAGTGAGGGTCTGGTAGGTAGAGGCAGAGTAAGAATTTTACTTCAGAATTTCACTACACTTTCTTTCCGTATAACTCAACTAATGATTGTCATTCACTTGATACTCCCCCGTCTCTTAGAGCTTTCCCCATTGTCTTTGTGCCTAGTTCTTATTCTTAAACTTGGTTTTGTGGAACTTGTTTTTCTTCTTTGTACTCTGCAGAACTCCATTTTGTGTGTTTTTTTCTTTGATCACTTCTTTAACTTGTTGAGGTTGTTTTGAATTCTGATCTTATCATCCAAGATGCTAGCCTTCTCAGCCAGACTGGTAGTGGTCTCTGTTTAGTCATCCAGATGCAATCCCTCAACTGCACACACAGACTTGCAGAATTAATCAGTTTTGAACACCTACCATGTGCTCAACACCTTGCAGGGTACTCTGCAATGAGAAAAGGTGCCTATCCTCAAAAGGTCTATAATATGATTGAGAACACAAAAGTGAACATAAATATGTGCTGAACTGAACTGTATTGAAACAATGCCAAACAATGACTTGTTACTCAATTGTGTGAGTACAGTAGGGGTTTGGCAGAGTGGGAGACAAGGGAGGGCTGTAGGGAAGGTTTCATGGGGGCACTGATGGGTTAAATTTCGATAGAAGGGAGGGAGTTAAAGGAAAGGCACAGAGTGGTGAATAAACATGTGCTGTGTTTTGGAGAGGAGTCTGCTTTGAATGGGCCGTGCCTGGTAACCACTCAGGTTAAGGTTTGGCAATACAAATAGCATGTGAGCTGAGGAAGCAAGAGCCTGGAGTTAGGTAGGACAGTGACTGCTGCAGTTACCCAGGTGTGAGAAGGTAAGTGGTCTAGACTTGAATGGTGGCAGTAGGAATAAAGGATATACTAAGGGAAAAACCTTTCGAACTTCGTGACTCAGTGTGAAAGAAATGGAAGAGTTGAAGACAGTCTCCCCCTTGAAATCACTAATTCTCTGGCCCCAAGTAGAGAACTACAGCTGATCCTTGAACAACGTGAGTTTGAACTGTGTGGGTCCACTTATACATGGATATTTTTCAATAGTAATTACTACAGTACTGTGGTTGGGTAAGTCTGCAGATGTGGAGGAACCGTGGATCCAGAGAGCCTGCTATGAGCTGTACTTGGAATAACCCCCACATTGGTCAGCTGTGTAGGAGGCAGGAGGTGACTGTTTCCAGCAGTGCAGGACCCGCCTACAAGTGGTTAGGAGAGCTAGGGAGCAACTTGGAACAGAATTATCTGCTATGAACACACAACAGAACGTTTTCCTCTCTTGTCACCCTGCTCTGGAAAATAAAATATTTCTCATTTTTTGAGGTTTCATGTATTTTTCCCCACTTTCTTCAACCCATTGAACTTTCTGAAAACATTTTCTTAGATACTTTGCTTTATAAGCCTCTTGGATAAAAAAGGCAGGTCTGAACTCAGAGATGTTTTTTATGATCAGTCCAAACTATGATATCCTTTGTTTGCTTCCCTGCAAGCAGGATTTCCATTTCCTAAATCCAGTGTGGTCTCCAAGTTGGAGCAAGGAGAGCCTTGGATCCCAGATCTGGGCTCCAAGAAGAAGGAACTCCCAAGAGGCAGTCACACAGGAGACAAACGAATGCATGCTGATCTGTTACCATCCAGGAGAGAGAGAAGAAGCTGGGTGGAACAGGATCACTGGGGCTTCGAGGATGAGAAGGTGGCAGGTGTGCACTGGGGCTATGAAGAGACCAGAACTCTCCTCGCAATTCTCAGTCAAACTGAGTTTTACGAGGCTCTCCGAAACTGTCATCGAAACAGCCAAGTGTATGGGGCTGTGGCTGAGCGACTCCGGGAGTATGGGTTCCTCCGGACCCTGGAGCAGTGTAGGACCAAGTTCAAAGGTCTCCAGAAGAGCTATCGGAAAGTCAAGAGTGGCCACCCACCTGAGACCTGCCCCTTCTTTGAAGAGATGGAAGCCCTGATGAGTGCCCAGGTCATTGCCCTGCCTAGTAATGGCCTGGAGGAGGCAGCCTCTCACTCTGGCCTGGTGGGCAGTGATGCTGAGACTGAGGAGCCAGAGCAACAGGACTGGCAGCATAAGGAGGGAGAAGATGCCATGGCTGAAGAGTCTGACAGTGAGGAAGTGGGCCAGGAGGCCACCCCCCAGGACCCCGACAAGTCCACCACACCCGTCCTTTTCCGAAGCCCAAGTGGTAAGCTTTTCTTCTTGGGGTTTTAGGATTAGACTGAGGAGTTATGAGGCTGGATGTGGAGTCAGGAAGCTTAATGTCACCTGCCAGCTTTGTCACTTAGAGAATAGAGGCACTTCTCAGTTCTTTGTGTATTTCATTCTGTTTTGTGGGAAAATCAGTGAGCTAATAGTAAGTAGAGAATAATTTTAGATATTTTAAAGTACACTCAGAGAATTCAAGAGACTCCTGAAAAGGAGTATCTTTCCTTCCATTTCTTTCTTAAAATATTTTTTCCTGATTATAAAATCACTGAAGGCTGAGAAAAACTTGGTACTGTATTATCTTTAAGTTGAGTATCTTTTGTTGAGCACCTTATATGAACTGTTGTTTTACCTTTACTTCTCCAAACTCAAGGTCAGTTTATTATGTGTTCCTTTTTACTTAGAAGAGCATAGTGAAGGACTGCCCAAAGTTGGGGAAACATTTTGTTTCCTCTGTGAGATCTGCAACACACATTGGCATTTTAACAGGACTAAGAAGTCTTCCAGCAAGAAACCTTGCTTAACACTCTGCTGAAATATTATTTGCCTATGGAACCATTTTAAAATATCACTTATTACTGTTGATGTAATTTGTACAACCATGTTGCTATGGGAAGAGCACCAAGTATGAATCAGGAGACTTCATTTCTAACCCTGACCACTAATCAGCTGGGTGACCTTGCACAGCTACCTGACCATTTCACAGTTTGCGTCCTCAACTGTAAAATGTGGCACAGCAGCAGGACTACTCTAGAGTTGCAGTTCCACTGGGAAGTTATGTGTCCCTTCCATGTTTTATTATATGTGTTTTTACTTTTGTTCTGTTCTAGTCTTCTTCTGTCTTGGATTTTTTCTTTTCCTTTTTAAAATAAATAAATAAATAAATAATTTTATTTATTTATTTTTGGCTGCATTGGGTCTTCGTTGCTGCACGTGGGCTTTCTTTAGTTGCATCAAGTGGGGGCTACTCTTCATTGCAGTGCGCTGGCTCCTTATTGCAGTGGCTTCTCTTGTTATGGAGCACAGGCTCTAGGCATGTGGGCTTCAGTAGTTGTGGCACGCAGGCTCAGTAGTTGTGGCATGCAGGCTCAGTAGTTGTGGCGCACAGGCTTAGTTGCTCCACGGCATGTGGGATCTTCCCAGACCAGGGCTCGAACCCATGTCCCCTGCATTGGCAGGCAGATTCTTAACCATTGCACCACCAGGGAAGCCCCTCCTTTTCCTTTTTTAAAAAAAATTTTGGGATTTCCCTGGTGATCCAGTGATTGGGACTCTGAGCTTCCACTGCAGGGGGCACGGGTTCTATCCCTGGTCTGGGAACTAAGATCCTGCATGCTGCATGGCCTAAATTAAAAAAAATATATTTTTTTCCCCATTTTGTCACTGGAATAAATTTCGGTAAATCACAAACATGGCACATGTGCTAGCTGCATTACTTGCAGTGAGTGGAGGGTAATGGAAGCAATGTAATCTCCAGCTAGCTCTCAAGTGGGAGGAAGGCTCTTAGAATCTTCCTTCCCTCTCCCTTGGGTACCTTCAGGGAGCAGAGCCTGTAGTCATCCTGAAGAAGTACTGCCCAAGCTGGGATGGCCTGCAGCATTAGCAGAGTTCAGGCCAGAAGATGCTATCTGCTCTGCTTCCTTCCTCTTTCTGGCTCTGCCACTCCTTCACTCCTAAGATGGTGCATGACTACAGGTTCTTAATCTTGAACCCTTCAGATCTTTGCTATTGCTGGGTTGGCTTCTTTTGAGATTGTGGCAAGTGAAGAAGGGCCGTAAAAGGGATTGGATTAAGCAGCAGTGTGATTCTGAAAGAGACTCTTCCTTGGGATTTTGAGTCATTCTATGGGAAACTTAATTCATAAGGAAGTAGGACTGGTAGAAAAAGATTGATCAGAGAATTTAGGGATGGCTCATGGCTGACAGTGACTGATTGTGGGTCTTCTTCCCCATACCAGTTATTTTCTAATTAGGATCAGAATTCCAGAATTACCGGAAGAATGGGGAAATGCATTCTGTACACCTGCCTCAGTGTACATAATGATTGTTACAGTGATAAGGTGGAAAGGCCTCTTTTGAACAGAATGTAGGAATAAAGGTCTCTGTGAAATTGATATAGGATATAGAGAAGCAGAACATTCTGAGAGTTTGTATTGATTTTGGAAACATGAGGTGTTTTTACTTTTTCACCTAGGAGCCCGAGCTTAGGTGATTTTTCATGATGCAGATGATAGGACTGAGGAATTGAGACTATAAAGCCCTGGATTAAGTGGTGCTGAAATTTCTCTTCTGGTGGCAGGTGTACACTGGGGCTATGAAGAGACAAAGACCTACCTTGCAATTCTTAGTGAGACTCAGTTTTATGAAGCCCTCCAGAACTGCCACCGCAACAGCCAGTTGTATGGAGCAGTGGCTGAGCGGTTATGGGAATATGGCTTCCTTAGGACACCAGAGCAGTGTCGGACCAAGTTTAAAAGCCTCCACACCAGCTACCGGAAGGTCAAGAATGGCCAAGCACCAGAGACCTGTCCCTTCTTTGAAGAGATGGATGCTTTGGTGAGTGCCCGGGGTGCTGCCCTGCCCAGTGATGGCCGGGAAGAGGAGGCAGCCTTGTGTCCCACCCAGGAGACCAGTGAGGCCGAAGCCGAGAAGCAAGCCGAGGAAGCAGATGAGGCCATAGAAGAAGATTCTGAAGATGATGATGAAGATACCGAGGTACCCCCAGAGGCTATGACCCGTGCTCCAGTCTTATTTCAGAGCCCCAGTGGTAAGATCCTTTTACTTCTTAAGGTAGAAATAGCAAATAGCAAAGGGAAGGCAGTGGGATTTAGGAGAAAAATCATGAGATTGAAGACCAGAAGTGGCCTCTACACCCAGCTGTCATGGATTCTTATTGTGACCACCTTCTCTCTTCTCCATGTTTCCTGTCTATTATAAAGCAGCTAGTTTATATCCCCTATTCACTTGACCTGCCTCCTCACACTACAGCATCAATCTGAGATGGCTGCAGACTTTGTAAACTAGCCATCATCTGCATGTGACCTGCTAGGTTACTAGGCAGTTTACCTAGCAGGGAATCTGAAAGCTTACATTTCCCAAGTAGCATGTCATATACCCATAGATGGATGAAGTTGATTTTTAAAGTTCATTCTCATTTGTTTTTTCTTCTAGTTTCAGCTTGTAAACCAGCTGTATGCTTGCATTATTCAAATATATGAAAACCTGATAACCTCTTTCTTCAGACACACTTATGCAAAAGTCAGAGATTTCTGAGGGAACTGATCCTTTGAATCTCAGCTACTGTATAAGAAAAAGAACCCCAAAACTTCATTATGGCTTCCCTCCTTGTGAGGAAAATTATTCTGATTTTGGAGTCACACATATATATGTATATGAATCTAGACTATGTTGTTTATTAGTTGAGTACCTTAGAGCAAGTTACTTAACCCTGTAAATTCGCTCATATGTTAAGACCTACCTCATAAGGTTGATGTAAATGAAGTACCACAGTGAAGCACCTAACACAGTGCTTGGGCATTTGATAAATAAGTTTTCTTTTCCAAAAGTTCTTTAGATCAGCATTCTTTAAGTGTGTTCCACAGAGCATCGATTCCATTAAAGAAGTAAAACATCGGAATTTTAACAGATGGTAGTTATTTGGGATCTAGAGCTCCCTAATTTTTACATTTAATCATCTAATGTGATACTTGCTTTACCCTGGTACACAACTGAGAAAACAGATAACTTTTAAAATTCTGTTCCTATGTCAGGTTTTGAGGCTGGATTTGAGAATGAAGAGAATCTAAAACGGGATATTGCTGAGGAAGTACAACTACACAGGACGTTACTTGCAAGGTCTGAGAGGAAAATTCCCCGGCATCTTAATCAAGGTAAAGGCATTGAGAGTGAATGTAGATCAGGAAGACAGTGGGAGAAGACCCCAGGGGAGAGAAGAGGAAAACCAACATTCCCAGAGAGGAGTTTAGGTAAAGTTCTAAGTCATCAGAGACCTTACTTGGGGGAGAGACCCTATAAATATCTCAGATATGGCAAAAGCTTTGGTCCAAACTCCCATCTCATGCATCAGATATCCCCTCAAGTAGAAAATCCATATAAATGTGCTGACTGTGGGAAAAGCTTCAGTCGGAGTGCACGCCTCATTAGACACCGGAGAATCCACACTGGAGAGAAACCTTATAAATGTCTTGACTGTGGGAAAAGCTTCCGTGACAGTTCAAATTTCATCACCCATAGAAGAATCCACACAGGAGAGAAACCATATCAGTGTGGTGAGTGTGGAAAACGCTTCAACCAGAGCTCAAGCCTTATCATTCACCAGAGAACCCACACAGGAGAAAAGCCCTATCAGTGTGAAGAGTGTGGGAAAAGCTTCAATAACAGTTCTCATTTTAGTGCACATCGAAGGATACACACAGGAGAGAGACCCCATGTGTGTCCTGACTGTGGAAAGAGTTTCAGTAAGAGTTCTGACTTACGTGCACACCACAGAACCCACACAGGAGAGAAACCCTATGGGTGTCATGACTGTGGCAAGTGCTTCAGTAAAAGCTCTGCTCTTAATAAGCACCGAGAGATCCACACACGAGAAAAGCTTCTCTCACAGCCAGCCCCTAAGTAAGCCCCTGAGGATCTATGAAGAAAACAGTCTCATTACGTGTATTGAAATTGTTTAGAAAAGTCCTCCAATAGTGAGATCCATCTCCTAATCTGTGCCTGACTAGTTTAGGAAATACTCTAGAATTTACCCCACTGTTTGTTCCTGTTTCTCCTGGATCTAGAGTCAAATTCCCAAAGCATCTTAAGAATGAAAGGAAGATTTCATTCCCTCTCCTTGCCTTTATTGACGGTAACACCTTTCCCTCTCAGTGCCTATGTTGTTCCCTTAATAGAGAGGACACAGTAGTAGATCCTATGAGTGTGATGTGCACCCTTCTTTACTCATCCTGTTATAGACTGCATTTCAACTAGAAAAACCCATCACAGCAGCATTTCATGGAGAAGTAGTAAGAATTCTCATTGAATGGGTGTAGCTCTTTATTAGCAATGGAAATGCAGAAAAGAATGACTTTTCCTGCTCACTTAACCCTGTGCTCAGAATGACATATTTGTCATGCACACTCTTCCTTTACCTTAAAGGAGAGTTTAAGTGTTCAATTTGGTTCTGACCTATAAGTCATTTTGTCAAGAACCTAGGTGTGCTATATGGGGAAACAATGTAAACCTCGTATAAATATTGAGGTGTGAACCCTGGATTTCTTAGTTTCTTCCAAGCTCTAGAAGCTTTGGAATAGAAAAATACTGTATGTACAGCGTCTGGTGTGATTTTTTTTTCTGGTCCATTTCATCTGAATTTCATGTGTCCCTTGTGGTCCAGAAGCTTAAAGAGCAAGCCAGTTGGATGCGGTGATAGGGAAAGCAGTTAGAACTGCCAAGAGGGCATTGTCCATATTCCACACATTCTAAACACCTGGGCTAGTGTCATGCACCCTGTGGACATAATACTGACCTGCAATGCACAGAGGCCACTTGCCACATTCCCACGGACTGGGAAAACAGACCACTTTGTGCCAACAACTCTTTACCCTAATGGTAAGGAGGACAGATTATCTTTGGTCAGTGGAGTTGACAATACTTACACACACACATGCACACATATTCAACTGTATACATCTACTTTTAAAAGCAGCTCTTCAAATGCAAGTGTAATTCTGATCTTTATGATCAAATAGTATTGAATTAATTGCCCACATGTTCATAGCAGTATGATGAGCAGGTACAGCACAAGTTAAACAGACTGTGTCTTCTTCCTTACAACCTAAAACAGATGACACTGACATGGACAAATAGTGCACATGTATAGCTGCAACAGTTTTAGAGAAATCTAGAAAGCTAGGTAGTAACACTATGCATAAAACTTAAGGTCTGATGCATTAGAGTTTGGAAAAAATTTGAGAGGTATTTTCTTCTCTTTAATCAGGAAGGCTTCATGAAGCAGGAAGTGCTCAGAGGGAAGGTTACTGGGTGGGATGAACTTTCCAAAACTCATTGCAAAACTGAGTGCTGAATGGGTGAAAAATAGGAAAACTGGGGAGCAAGGGAGCAGAGGGCAAAGGAAGGACTGTAAGGAAGGTTAGACAAAGCTTGGAGTAGCACAGAATTGGAGAGGTAGCAAGATATGGGCCGTGCAGAAGGCAGAGAGGGACTCGCCTCAGCTAAAACATGGAGTGCCAGGCAGATCAGGAGATGGGCTCCCATCCTCCAGAGTAAATCAGGTACTGTGCTGTGCTTACTGACAAGGAAACAGCTGACTGGCACTGGGGAAGAAGTATGAGCAGTCTTAGGGGACTAGCTCCTATGGGAGACGAAAGTCAGAAACCAGTATCTTAAGAAGATACTTCAATGGGCAGTTCAGAGGAAAGAAGAACGTGAGTGATGGCCAAGGCCTGGGATAAGTAGCTGCATCATTAGTCACATTGAATGAGTTGGGATGGGAATGAGATCTGAGAAGTGGGGAGGTAGAATTTTCTAAAATCCATAGCTTACTGTGGTAGATGACAGATTAATTAGGGTTCTGGTGCTGAGGGAATTTCCTAATTCCTAACTCTTAACGAATTAAGGGGAGATGGTGTCTCAATTATGTTGCCTAAGCAGACAGGAAGATACAAGAAACACGAGTCTAAAGCAATGCCTCGGGATCTGAGATAGTTTAGGAAATGTGCTATAGTGTTTTTTAAAAAATGAGAGATCACGTGTCTTCAGTATATCTATGTATAGTCTTGTGGGAAAAGCACTGGTTGTGGTACCAACAGATACAAATTCTGGTTCCAGATGTCTTATGTGTAAGTCAACCTGCCTCCATTTCCCTTTCTGTAAAGCAGAACAGTGTTTACACCTTAATCTGCCTCTCAGGGATACCATGTTAATAAAAATTCTATCTATAAAATGCCCAGTGGTTCTCTAGGTGTTTTTTAAAAATATATATATATATGGAAATTACGATTAAGTTGTTGCTGGTAGGAAAAGATAAATCTTTACCTGCTTTTTCTGGCTGCCTGTGTGGGGTTACTACAGGTATGCCTGTCTGAATCTTTATGTTCTAGGCTGAAAAACAAATTAGAATGTGGTAAAATAGAAATGAAAATCTTTCCTTAGTATCTGTATCCATATCCATTGGGACCCCTCATAACTGGGCATGGAGAATGAGTCAATTTTAAAAGACCCAGGACCAGCCCTCCAACCTCCAGATGAAGAGAATGTGCAAAAGGAATAGGGCAAGAAAACCATAATTCAAAGAGTCATGTACCACCATGTCCACGTAGCTCTATTTACAATAGCCAGGACATGGAAGCAACCTAAGTGTCCACTGACAGATGAATGGATAAAGAAGATGTGGCACATATATACAATGGAATATTACTCAGCCATAAAAAGAAACGAAATTGAGTTATTTGTAGTGAGGTGGATGGACCGAGAGACTCATACAGGGTGAAGTAAGTCAGAAAGAGAAAAACAAATACCGTATGCTCACACATATATATGGAATCTAAAAAAAAAAAGGGTTCTGAAGAACCTAGGGGCAGGACAGGAATAAAGACGCAGACGTAGAGAATGGACTTGAGGACACGGGAAGGGGGAAGGGTAAGCTGAGATGAAGTGAGAGAGTGGCATGGACATATATACACTACCAAATGTAAAATAGATAGCTAGTGGGAAGCAGCCGCATAGCACAGGGAGATCAGCTCGGTGCTTTGTGTCCACCTAGAGGGGTGGGATAGGGAGGAGATACGGGGATATATGTATATGTATAGCTGATTCACTTTGTTATACAGCAGAAACTAACACACCATTGTAAAGCAATTATACTCCAATAAAGATGTTTAAAAAAAAAAAAAGGAATAGGGCAAAGGCAAAACTCTTCCCAGGGAAAACCCAATTTTATCTCAAACTAGCTCACAAACCATTATCTGCCACCCAACCTGCCACTCCTGAGGATGGAAGAAGCAAGAAATAATACATAGTCTTCAAACATTCTAAGAAAGAAAAACCAAGCCCACTGTTAAGGGAGCAAGAGGATCTATGCACCCCTCCCTTTTAATACTTGTTCAGCCTTTGTAGGGAGACTGGATGACATGTGCAGCAGAGAAAGCAAGAATATATTAGCAGGAGCTAGACAGTCATATCTGTTCTCATCAATTGTTTCCTTAGTGCTATTATTTCTTTTTATTTTCCCCTTTATTGCTTATTCTCTATGGCCAATGCCATGGAACTTAATACACACACACACACACACACACACACACACACACACACACACACACACACACACACACACACACACACACACACACACACACATACGTTCGTATATCTATACAGAGGGAGAGAGAGAGAGAGCACTGCCATTTCTCTTTTACTGTAATCTGAGTATAGAGGCTGTCTTGTCAGCTCTGTAGAGAATTATTTTTATGGTAACCAGGTAGGGGAGGGAAGATGAGATATGAACATAAGAATGGACCAATTCTCTCTCCATTATTCGATTCAAAATCTAAAATGTATCTTGACTCCAGGAGGATTAATCATGAGAAGGGCAAAGGCAGATATCAGAAGCTAGCTTTATCTGTCACTTAGGGTCACCCACCCAGAGGAGATTAACCCTGGCTACTGGGATTCATAAAAATCCATGGTATGCAGTGTAGCCTGGAGTCCACAGTTCTGGGGAATACTTAAGTGAAAGGAGTCCGATTAAAGTAAGCACAACAAAATACAGAGCTGTCATCACAAGCTAGATGGCTTAAAGGTTTTGGCGACAATCTGTTTTTCCTTCTTTCTTCACCTTATTTAGACTAGTAATTCCAAAACTTTTCCTGATGAGAACCTACTTTGATTTTCTTGAAGTTTCATGATCACTAATGAAGGACTGTTAAGTCAAAATCACTGCTGGAATGGGGAGTTCAGTGAGCAGCAACTTTCAAGTCCCTTCCTGTAAGCAGCATGGAGGTGAGCCATGGACGACCTCAGAGCCTGCCTGTCAGTTTAAGAGAGACTTACTGGGCATCCGCCATGAGTAAGGTGCTAGTGTTGGAGCCCACGGCACTTGGCTGCTATGCTTCCACGGGAGGGAGCAGTGGACAGCTTACTAAGTGGGATACAGCAGGGAGATCTAGGTTGTAATACATACTCGCAAGTAGTTCACCTCATTACAGCTTAAAAATGGAACACTTTTGGCTTCAGATGATTCCACTTCTTCCTCAGATCAGACTTGGTGCTGTCAGAAGCAAAGATGTAGCTGATGGATTCATAAGACAGATCCCACACCTGAGACTGGGTCAAATGAAATGTTTCAGCTGCCAGCTGGTACTCTTGAGAAAGGTGTGTTGCAAAAACACCCTTATCATCGGTCTGCCAACATAAGCAAGAAAGTTTCAAAATGAATAAGGAAATAATTTTTTAAAAATAGCTTTCGTTTAGAGTATTTTCCTATTTACCATGCTTCTTTTAAGAATTTAAACAGGGGCCTATAAATATATCCGTGCACATCTATGACTAAACAGACTTGTTTATCCTTTTTAAGAACAAAAAATAAAACATCAGGGCAGTGGCTCTCAACCACGGCTGCATGTTTAGATCACCGAGGGAGCTTTTAAGATGTATCTGTGCCCAGGACAACCCCCAGATCAATTAAAGCCGAATCGCAAGGGCTGGGTGCTGGGCATCAGTATTGTTGTTCCCCCAGGTACTGTCCAGGACCTTTCCCCATAGAGCCAAACCAGAGTCACGCTGGCCCTTTGCAGCCTCTCAGGCCCCAATCTCCTCTCACTCCTCTACTTGGGCATCACCCCCAAGGTGTGCAAGGCAGCCAGCTAGGTAGTGAATGTCTGACCTATGGCAACTCAGGGCCTAAAGAGGAGCAAAATACCTCACAACAAAACACCTTACACAGATCACGGCAGGATGGAGAATGCTGTACCAGAATCCAAAATGATGCTGGTTATAAGATGGAACTGTCTGACTTTTGACGTTCGAGGTCAAACAGAGTTCTAGATGAAGAGGGGAAAGGAAGAAGCCTCTTATTAAAAGCAGATTAGTAGACTCATTCACTGTCACCAAGTAGATACATGAGAAAGCTTTCCAAACTATGCTAATTTTCAGTAGTTCATTATTTTACAAAACTGACCTTTTCTTACATGTGAAAATTTGTAGTCCAATGAGTGTAGTTGTGTGGGAACTATGTGCTGCAGCTCATGGCAGGGAATTAACATCCCCTTCACAGCCCTGTGCTTCTCCCTTTCTTTTACCAAAGAAGGAGAGGAAAGAGGGGTGTGATAAGCCAGTCACCATGAAGAAGGCAGGGAAGTATCGTGATAGGGGAGCAGAAGGAATCTTTGAAGGGTTGCTGCACTTCTTCCTGGTCTTACAGTGGGAGCTAAAGTCAAGGTAAGAAAATGGTAGCACTGTCGAGGGTTACAGTGTTATAGAAAGCCAAGAGCAGAAATGGACTTCTTCTATGGCTTCCAAGAAAACCTCTAAACTCCTTTACTCAGACAACCATCCATTAACTGCCTGCTGCAAGTCCATCTTAAGAACGACTTCTATGATTATAAAACTCCTGCCTTGAAAAGCTGTGCCCGGCTCCCCAGCCAGAGTAAAATACTTCACTGACTTGATTGATGGCATCTGCTCCCTTGAGTAAGGTGGCTGCAACACAGGGCCACTCAGTCCCAGCAATGGCAAACCCAACCTTCCCCTGCTGAGAGCAGAGCCGGGCCACCACACCAAGTAAGATCACTATGCAAGTGGTTTCCAAGATCCTCTACTTTTGTAGAGGTTTAAAAATTTCCTTAGTAAAAAGAAAAGAAATCTCACCCATTATGAATTGCTGAAAAACTCTATGTTAGTTAAAAAACACACCCACACAGGTGTTATTGCAAATTGTTAAATTTGTAAGTTCAGTGAATTCATCATTCAGTAAAGAGGTTTTCAGCCAACTGCTTTCCCTCATCAGAAAGGCCTTCCCCAACTATGCAATCAAAAGTGGTTATCTCATCACTATTCTACCGGCCTGTTTAATTTTCTTCAAAGAACTTAACACTGATATTTTCTTGTGTATTTGCTTACTGTCTCTCTTACCTATGCTAGGATATAAGTTTCTTGAGAAAGAAACATTGTCTGTTTTGTTTACTGCTGTATTCCCAGCAATTTGAATAGTGACTGGAACAGAGTAGGCACTTCATAAGTATTTGTTGTTAAATAAAAATAGCTCCGGGGGGCTTCCTTGGTGGTCCATTGGTTAAGATCTGCCTTCCAATGCAGGGGATGTAGTTGAATCCCTGGTTGGGGAACTAAGATCCCACATGCCGCAGGGCAACTAAACCCATGCACCACAACTAGAGAAGCCCACGAGTTGCAACGAAGACCCAGCACAGCCAAAATAAATAAATAAAAAAAAATAAAAACCCTACAGCCAACATTATACTTAATAGCGACAGACTGAATGGTTTTCCCTAAGATAGGGAACAAGGAGAGATGTCAGCTCTCATCACTCTTATTCTACAAAGTAATGGTGAATAAGTTAAGTTCAGCAATGTCACATAACACATGATAAATATAAAATAATCAACTGTATTTCTCTATACTAGCAATGAAAAATTAAAAAATTAATTAATTAAATAAATTAATTTTTTAAAAAAGCTCCAGGTATACACATGCAGACAAGTAAGTGTGTGATGGTTAACAGACATATAAAAGTATACTTGGAATCCTGCATAAGTCTTAATTTTTAACTAAATGTTACACATTTTCACAACATACGTAAATTGGTTAAAGTCATTCCAAAATACTAGATGACCCTTATTCCCTCAATATAATACTTGGTTCCAGGAACTGGGGAATGTGGCAGTGAACAAGACAGATGAGGGCCCTGCTCTCATGGAGCTTATACTCTAATGGGAGCTAAAACTTCCTGTTACCTAAATGAGGTTGAGAAAGCATCACTTAACTTCTAAATGATATTTATATATTTAGAACAGTGCTTCTCTACATATGGGTTGCAACCTGGGGGCTGGGGAGGAAGGGACAGTGAGTTGCCTGGAGGACCTAAAGCCTTAAGCCTTACCGAGTGGTATCTGGTGTTGCCTCACAAAGTCCACCAGATCCAGGGATCCTCCCTCCAAGGAGTTGAGAAATGTGCCGTGCCCGATTCGGTCAGGAAGCAGGTCCAGGAGTACTTGTGTTTCTTTTTTTTGGTTTGGAATCTCAAAAAAAGGGGAAAGAGGGCATCAATAACCTCTTTCAGTGGTTCTTAAAAGTACTTTTCTCTATAGCCAGGTATTTTGTCCCTCTGGGAAGGTAATGCAGACATTCTGGGAAGCTGAACCACTTAGACCTTCCAGCTCTCTTCTTTGCCTTTTATCTTCCCACTTATTTCCCAGTATTCTTCTAGATTCACTTTGATAATAGTAACTATGGAGTCAATAGCCTTTTCACACACATTCTCCTTTAAACCTCACAAGAATCATACAAAGTATTAAGATGAAGAAATCAAAACTGAGAAAAAGTAATTTTCAAAACCAAAATCTCACAACTCTATATGCATATGTGTGTTTTGTGTTGTGTATATGTCTTCATACGTGTTACAAAAAGGGATAGAAAAAATATATATAAATAACAAAACTGTTAATAGGATCAACTCAGGAGCAGAACTGAAGGGGACCTTTCATTTTTTATTTCTTTACTTCTACTTTACACTATTTTTGTACACGTGGATTTTCTTCAGATACATATAACTTTTGTAGTTAAAAATATAAAGCATTTTAAAGAAAAGCTGTCCAGGCTCACAGAGCTAGTGAATGGTGGAGATAAGGGTGAAACCTGGCTCCATCTGACTCTGGGGCCCAGACTCCATCCACATACAGTGCGCTCATGTTCTATCTAACGACAAGGCTAGCTAAGTGCAAACCACAACCACCATGAAAATGTCTGGCTGTGCTCTTCATCTCCTAGATAGCCTAAAAGACAAATGACCATAACATGTTGAAATGAAATGTTTTATATCCAATGGACCAAACAAGAAAAGCCACAGAAATTAAGGTAAAGAGCAGGTTCTGATGCTGTGCACAAAGGCCAGAGGTAACTGGCCTCATGCTGGCTGTTCTGTTATCCTGACCAATGACTTCAATCTGGCATCAGTTTGGTCAACTAGAGGGTATCCTACACGAGAAAGATCTTTTGATCAGAGTGTGGAAACGTGGATCCTAGATTTTAAGTTCTGCCACTATATTACTGACACTCTGCTTTGTAGACATGAAAAAGAGCCAGTACTGACACGAAGCTCCCATTTTTTTCCCTAGTCTTTAAATCATGACCTTAATTCTCAAAATAATCATACGAGGTAAGTAAACTATTATTTCCTGCATTCAAGAAACAAATTCAGGGGCTTCCCTGGTGGCCCAGTGGTTAAGAATCTGCCTGCCAATGCAGGGGACGTGGGTTCGAGCCCTGGTCTGGGAAGATTCCACATGCCACAGAGCAACTAAGCCTGTATTCCACAACTACTGAGCCTGTGCTCTAGAGCCCGTGAGCCACAACTACTGAAGCCTGCGCGCCTAGAGCCCGTGCTCTGCAACAAGAGAAGCCACCAATGAGAAGCCCGCGCATCACAACTGAGAAAAGCCCGCACAAAGCAACAAAGACCCAAGACAGCCAAAAATAAAAATAAATAAATAATAATAAAAAAAGAAACAAATCCAAATTCATCAAGTTGTATAATTATGTATAGCTTTTTGTATGTTAAAAAAAAAAGAAAAAAAAGAAATAGGTAGAAATACTGAGGTAGAAAGTAAATCCATCTGTAAAATGGGGAAAAGTCCAGGAGAGTCCCTTGCTTGCCTCACAGGGATGTGCTGATTAAGAAAGTGACTGTTCTCCAGCTACTCTCTGTGCATTATCTGCACTGTGCTCATGCTGCCAAGGAGCTGGTGCCACAGGGGCACTTGATCTTCTGCTGAGCCTTATTAAATGATGATAAGCTACTTCCTTTCTTGCCAGTGTTATGTGACACATTCAGGTCCCTTCCCTGCAAGGACAGGTGAGACAAACTCATGCTTTTCTCAGTGTCAGCTTGCCGCTAACAAGGCTGCTGATATAAATTCATGCATTTTCTCTAGCAAGCTGTCAATTAAGCTGTTTTAAGGACACAACCGTAGTGCACGTCAACAGCCAACCCCAGGAACCACAAAAACAAAGGAACAGTAACATGAGGGACTAAAGCAAGTTATGCCTTCATCATTATAATTTACACAAAAATATTTCTACTTTCTCTTTCTAAAAATGTTTTCCCAAGCCAGGTCTATCTTTAGCCATGTACACATGATTATTATTTTCCATTAATTATTTTCCATTGTAATCTGCCCTCTCCAGCCTAATTTTACAATATTATTTACCTCTGAAAGATGCAATGCCAACTTCAGACCTGATTTTTTAGCTTCTAAAAGAGGTTCCAAGAAGTCTTTTGCTTGTCCTACCTTGAAGACAAAAGTTAAAATGAGGATGTATGAGTACAGGTAAACTGAAGAACTGGGTACTCTGTCTCAATAAAAAAAGAAATAAAATAATGGCAGAAAAAAAACGGCAGATGGACTTATTGGCACATTTTGTTTATAAAGTATCTACGGTGTGCTAGACATGTTAGAGAATTCAAAGCTGGCACAGACACAGTCCTTGCCCTCAAGAATCTTAAGTATCAGTGAACCTGATGACAATCAGCTAAGCTTGATATAACAGTCACCAAATTTTACTTTCGGAAGGATATCTAGATATCTAAAGCTAAGAAGGAGAACTCACCTGATTCAGGAACCAGCATGATTTGTAAAGAAAGCTTCTATCAAATGGACGGATGAAACAAGGCCAGAACAGCCCAGGTTTTGACAAAGCCGTAAGAACCAGGTTCACAGGACTCTCTATTTCAATGGTTTTCAACTGGGGTGATTCTGCCCTCCAGGGGACATTTGGTAATGTCTACAAACATTTTTGGTTGTCACAACTAAGAGGGTGCTGGTATCTATTGGGTAGAGGCCAGGGATGCTACTAAACATCTTATAATGTACAGGACACCCTCCTACAACAAAGAATTCTTTGGCCCCAAATGTCAGTAGTGCCACAGCTGAGGCACCCTGCTTGAATCTGACCAGGAAGCTCTAGACCAGCCTTTCTCAACTGGGGCTTCTGTGAGACAATTAAGCCCTAGCCATAATTAAGCATTAGACATGTTAATAAATTAACTTCTCTAGTAGAATGGTACTAGCTGTGAACCAAAATAAAATAATCATATTGTCATGCAAATCTTTTTCTCTTTTTTTAGGGGGCTTAATTCTTTCACAGAACCCTGTCTGAGAGCAGTTGCTATAGACGTTCTGGTCATCCAGGGCAGGATAGGGCTTCATCCACACAGAGAGTCTTCTGGACCTCTGGAGAAAGCAGGATGCTCCAAGCTAATCCTCAACCCACAAACTGATTCTACCTTTTAGAAATAAAATATATTTTGGAAAAGTAACTTACAGTAGGGTCTCCACTGAGGTCAAGGCCAAGAACTGTATCCTCAGTAGAAAGGAAGAACTCTTCAGCAAGTTTAACAGTCTCCTTGGCTACTGAAGGGCCACCTCTTCTGTCGACTGATATCAAATACCTTTGATACAAGAAAAACACAGTTGAAAATGAGTATTGATTGTGTAGATGAAAAAGACAACTCTTGAGTATGGCCAGAGAGGTATGGCAGGCTACGTGGAATACAACTTACTGGAAAAGTACAGCCTGACTAACTTGACATCTTACTTTGCCATAGGAATGAGACATAAATTACTAAACAGCACCAAATATCTAGTTAGTGTTCAAAGTTCTATCTCCTGCTTTTTTGTTCATGTATTTGTTTTTTACAGTTTGATTCAGAATCCAACTAAGGTCCACACATTGTGTTGGTCAATGTGTCTCAAGTCTCTTTTAATCTATAGCCACTTCCCCCATGCCTCCACCCTCTAACTCACACCTCCCCCCGGCCTCTTTTCTTGAATTCATTTGTTGAAGAAACCACATCATTTTTCCTATAGTTTCCCACATCTGATTTTGCTGATTGAATCCCCATGTTGATAACATGTTCTCCTGTCTCTTGTATTTCCTATGAATTGGAAACTGGATCTAGTCTAGAGGCTTAATCAGATCAGATTCAATATTGAGGCAAGAGGATTTCATAGGTGATGATGGTTCTTTGATCAGGAGGCTTGGATCTCTTATTTCATTAAGGGTTACAAGATTGGTAATATTCTAATTCTAACATGTATCCAATAGCTGATACAAATTCATTCTTCATTCATTAGCTGGATTCCTACAAGGAATCAAATACCCAGAGAACCCCTGTTAATATTGTGTAATTTTCCTCCAGCATTTATTAGTTTATCTATTTATTCACAAAATAAAGAAATCCCTCCAGCATATATTTATTTACAAAATTTGGATCAACTATATATAAAATGCAGTCTTTTTTTTTTCCACTTAACAATTTCCCCTGCCATTAAATGTTAGAAAACAATATAAATCATATGAATATAACATAATGTAATTGTCCTCTAATTGTTGGACATTTTAGGATGTTTTCTACTTTTTGTTATAAATAACACTACTGTGAAGAATCTTAACATTAATCAATTTCCTTAGGATACATTTCTAGAACAGAGTTACTGGATCACAGAGGGAAATTATTTTTATAGTTCTTAATACCTCTTTAGAGAGGTTTTATTAATTACATATGCTCACCAGCAGTGTGTAAGTTCACAAACACTGGTTAATACTCTTTTTGGGGAGCGGGGTACCTGTTGAAATGGCATTGTAATATTTCTTTTTAAAATTATTTGATTAGTGAAGTTAAATAGTTTTCTGTACATTTATTGGCCATTTGTATGTCTTCTTTTCTGAATTCTCTTTGTCTTTTGCCTGTTTTTTTTTTTCAATTGGGGTATTAGTCCAGTTAAGCTTAATTTTGAGAGATTTTATAGCCAGAAACTATACAGTTAGCTTTCTTCCTTTCTTCCTTCAAGGACTTACTGAGCCCTAATTATGTGCCAGCTCTGTTCTAAGTACTGGTGGGGTAGTGGTGACTCAAAAGACAAGGGCCCTGGCCTCACTGCATTTACACTCTAGCGGGTGAGTGTGTGTATACACATAAAACAAGAAGACTTCTGATCTTGTTAAGAAGAGTGCCATAAAGGAAATAAACGGGGTGACTAGAAGATGTGGGGAGGCACTTTAGATAAGGTGGTCAAGGAAGGCCCCTCTGAGGAAGTGACAGCCACACTGAGACCGGAATAATGAGAAGCCAACCATGCGAGCATACAGTGGAGGTGTGTTCTAGGCAAAAGTAACAGGAAGTACAAAGGTGCTGATGTGGGACAGTCTTGGCCTACTTGAGAAACAGAGGGCGGGCCACTGCGTGGTAAGTGACCAGTGGTCCAGATGAGGCTGTTGAAGTAAGAAAGGCAGCCACGTGGGACCTTGCAGGCCATAGTAAGAAGCCTGGATTTTCGCTGAAGAGCCATGGGAAGCCATACTTCACAAGAGCAACAGGACTCAGAACTTTACTGCCACACGAAAAAATTCAGAATTGCATTCTCAACTTTAAACAACAAGGTTCTTGACTCTGTTTTTTATTAAAAGATAAAAGTTGGTTATTGGTTGATTTATAAAATCCACTATACTCAGGCTCAAAAGAGTAAATTTTTCACATTCTAGTATTTTAAATGGTGACCACTAAGGTACAATGCTTCTTACCTAACATCAATGTCTACGTTTTCTTGTTTGGACTGTTTTATACCCTCAAGTACAGATTCCACATAAGTCTTTTTAGTCATTCCTGGAAAGGACACAAATAAAACATTTTTAAAGAGATCATCAACTACTTCATCCTTCAACATTAGCATCCCTATATGAACAAATACATTTTCACTTTATGTGTGATACGGGTATGGTTAAAAAGATGAGTTATGGATACATTTTAGTAAATACCATTTATACTTTAATAAAATTGAAAAAAAATGAAATACTAGAAAAATGAAATTAAAAAAAAAGACATAAAATTCAAGCTTGTTTAAAAATTATTCGCAGATTCAACAGACATAAAGTTACCCTCGGGACTTCCCTGGTGGCGCAGTGGTTAAGAATCCGCCTGCCAATGCAGGGGATACGGGTTAGAGCCCTGGTCTGGGAGGATCCCACATGCTGTGGAGCAACTAATCCTGTGTGCCACAACTACTGAGCCTGTGCTCTAGACCCTGCGAGCCACAACTACTGAAGCCCACGCACCTAGAGCCCGTCCTCCACAACAAGAGAAGCCACTGCAATGAGAAGTCCACGCACCGCAACGAAGAGTAGCCCCTGCTCACCGCAACTAGAGAAAGCCTGCGCACAGCAACGAAGACCCAGCACAGCCAAAAATAAATAAATAATCAATTAAAAAAAAAAAACCTACTCTCACAAATTGCTATAAAAAGTTTAAATGCTTGTTCTAACAAAACAAGAATAACAAAAGCCCTTTTCTGGGAATTCCCTGGTGATCCAGTGGTTAGGACTCCATGGTTCTACTGCAGGGGGCATGGGTTCGATCCCTGGTTGGGGAACCAAGATCCCCATGTGCATAGTGTGGCCAGAAAAAAAAAAAAAAGCCCTTTTCTAAGGCCTGTCCTTAAAAAAAAAAATGCCAGAAAAATTTTTCTCTACTAGCAGAATGTTTTCCTGCTTGTCCACAAAAAAATCCTCTCCCTCAACCCTGCTCAGACTCAGTGTCTCTCATCCAGGGCACTAGAGACGTTCTTTCAAGTTCAGGTGCTCAAGTCCTCCTCTTCTGTGGGTCTCTGAAAAAGCACTCTCCAGAACAACCTCCTCTAAAATACTCTCATACCTCAGTTATAAAATGTTTACTTTTTTTTTTTTTTGGTTTTGTTTTGGTTTTTGCAGTACGTGGGCCTCTCTCTGTTTTGGCCTCTCCCACTGTGGAGCACAGGCTCTGGACGCACAGGCCCAGCGGCCATGGCTCACGGGCCTAGCCGCTCCACAGCATGTGGGATCTTCCCGGACCGAGGCACGAACCTGTGTCCCCTGCATCGGCAGGTGGACTCTCAACCACTGTGCCACCAGGGAAGCCCAAAATGTTTATGTTTAGTGGAAAATCTCTACAAAAAACACAGACAATTATAAAGAAGAAAAATAAAAATAACCTGTAATCCCACCACTCAGAGATAACCACTGGCTGTTTTTCTAAGTGTGTGTATATGTGTAAACATATACATATATATATAGAGAGAGATATATATATATAGATATATAGTTTTGAACAGATGAGATGCTACTAGGTATATATGTATCCTGTTCCTTCATTTAACACTGTATTCTGAGCATGTCTTCACGTCATTAAAGTGTCTTTGCAAATATTTTTAATGGTTGCCAAATATTCCATTAACCTTTATTTAACTATTACCCTATTGCTGCATATTTAAGGTGACATTCCCCTTTGAATCTCCATTTAAAGAGTCAACTAGCTCTAATAATTGGCAGGTCTCTTCTTTCCTTCCCTTTCACTATCCTCACCAGGATCCTACAGTTTAAAAATGTGAGATAAGAATCTTCTGCTCAGGGGGAGGAATAAATCGGGAGATTGGGATTGACATATACACACCACTATACGTAAAACAGATAACTAATAAGGACCTACTGTATAGCACAGGGAACTCTACTCAGTACTCTGTAATAACTTGTATGGGAAAAGAATGTAAAAAAGAGTGGATATATGTGTATGTATAACTGATTCACTTTGCTGTACAGCAGAAACTAACACATTATAAATCAACTATACTCCAATATAAATTTTAAAAAAAAGAATCTTCTGCTTGTCTCATTTCAGCACTTACTTTACTATATGCAGTTTCAAAAATTTTACCCCCTGAATGATGCTGGGCTACACATATCAGCGTGCAAGATGATCTGGTAGGGCCTCTTTAGGTCACAGACAAAGTGCTAAGGAGGACCCAAGGGCACTACAGAATATCTCCTGATGCTGCTCTTATGGAAAGAGGGTCCCAGGAGATTTCTCCAGATCACATCCAGATCCACTCATCTCCATCCAGAGAGGTTTTGCCACATCACAGCTTGCTCCTGGCCTAAGATACCATCAGTCCCTGAGACGTGAGTCAATAACCTTCATTTCAGTGACTGTCATGAAATGTGATTCTGCATCCACTCACTGCCTCACAAGTGCCTTGATGCAGGGAACTCGAACTAGCATTTACTTAAGACAATGTAACTATAAGGAAAAAGTGTTCTTTTCTCAGAGTGAGAAAAATAAGAACAAACAAAATGTTTGCAGGTCTTTTTATTTCCCTTCAACAGGCAATACCTGACCTGATTTTTTTAAGTTAAGAATAACTCACTCAGGGCTTCCCTGGTGGCGCAGTGGTTGAGAATCTGCCTGCTAATGCAGGGAACACGGGTTTGTGCCCTGGTCTGGGAAGATCCCATATGCCACGGAGCAACTAGGCCCGTGAGCCACAACTACTGAGCCTGCGCGTCTGGAGCCTGTGCTCCGCAACAAGAGAGGCCACGATAGTGAGAGGCCTGCACACCGCAATGAAGAGTGGCCCCCCTTTGCCACAACCAGAGAAAGCCCTCGCACAGAAATGAAGACCAAACACAGGCAAAAATAAATAAATAAATAAATTGATTTTAAAAAAAAGAATAACTCACTCATTAATGGCATACATCATTAACGTACATCAGAAGATTTGGACCACTGCCCCTACTTTTACAATAGTGTAAAAGTAAATACTTCATAGTCTCAACTTGCAAACACATGCATCATCAAAGCACATGAGAAAAAAGATAGACATCTGCTGAGAAGTAGTTAGATTCTACCTGTAGCATTTTCTCTGGGCGTGCTCCTTAGCTCCAGGTACTTGACACCATCGTCTGCAAATTCTTTAATGACATCTTTCGTGACCTGATAATAAAGGCAATGTATGCAATATTGATTATGTTAGTGTAAGCGTCCCCAAGAAAATGCCACGTGCTACAGCTTTATTTCATGCATTAAATTTGATTTGCAAGTAGTGTTGGGAGTCTCCCACATGGTGAGGATGACCTGCTTTGTCACACCCCTGGTGGAGGCTGTGACAAAACTACCACATTTCCAATAGTTCCCCTTACCCAGCGCCCATACTCACATGAAATCCAAATCTGCACATCATCCGCACCTTTTGTTTCTCTTCTCCCCTTTTAACCATTTCTCTATTTCCTAATGAACAGCAGACTGATAAAACAGAGGCAAAACTAAAACCAGTAAAACCACCTATGAGTGTATACTATTTGAAATTTCATTACATATGGAAATAAACAACTAAAATGATTAGGTAGTACTGATGTACCATTTAAAGTCATGGCTTAACATTCTTATTCAAGCTATTTAGGGATAAGTTGTATTTTTCAAGAATTTCTTCCGGCAGGGTTAAATTTCCCCCAGAAGTACTTAGGAAGATTCTTCTCAGGCAAAGAAAATGGGTGATAAATTTGAGTAAAACTGTATCCAGTCTAGCACAAAACTCAACAATCCAAAAATTACTAAATCACCAAGATAAATAACATCTAAAGGCTGAAGGTATGTTTTCCTTCATTGCCATCAACCCTAAAATATACCAAATCTAGAAGAAAAAAGGACCAAGTTAGAAATGCTGTGACAACCAGCCCTAGTTAGTCCTTACAGCTGGTATCCTACTCTTAACCTGCTTTGACCATGTGCACATGGGCATGCAGGTGCGGCGTCCTGGCCAAGGAACAAGGCTGGCTGGTTGCGCAGATGGTGCCTAACTGGGTGGCCCCGCCTTGGTGGATTCATTGCAATCCAAGATCTGGGCCTCATCTTTTTTCTTTACACTAAAGCCAAAAAAGGAATTTATTATAATATGAATCTAACAGGTGGCTTGGATTCACCAGGAGGTCTGGAGAATCAGCCTCAGAGATTACACAGCTCAGGACAACACAAAAGCATTCAAAATCACGTGACACCCCTGGACCAAGCAAGACACCACTGCTTCCTCCACCACTGAGCATAACCCTGCAGCCTCTGCAGCATCACAGGCACTGGACCCCATAACACTGCTGTCTCAGGAACCCCATGATGCTGCCACTGCCACCACCAGAGCACAGGCCTCATCTTTGCAGGTTGAAGAACTCGCATCTTATCATTGCTCCAGAACTAAGCAGACCCAGAGACACCCTACCCCAGCTCACAGGAGACTAACGCAGAAGCCTATTTGTAATGTATGAATTGCCAACGAGGGTGGAAGTGAGGGTGTGAAGCGATCCTATCTACTATCCAGGGTACCCCCTTTCTTGATGGTGAGGTACGTGTGAAACCAAATAGAACAACAGAAGATTGCTGGCAAATACTGATTGAGAGCAATGGGAGGAAGATTTCTCTAGGCCACATTAAGGCCTGTGGAATCATCTCTAGCTCACGTCCAAGAACACTCACTCCCCTAGGGTCCATATCCGTGTTGGCCAGATTCAGCCCTTTCTGCTCCATGCAGCAACAGGTACCGAGGCCAACTCTTGGCACTTTGGGCTTTCCTCTCCTATGCGCTGGACTGAGAACATCTACTCAAGTACTTTCTTCAGATAGAATCCATCACAATTAAGTTTCTGCTTTCTCCAAGAATGGTAAGACTGCACATCTTGAATGAGAAAGAACATGGGCTCTGGAATCAGACAAAATAGTCAATTCTGCCACTTACTCACAGTGAGTGACCTTGAACAAGTTACACTTAACCTCTTTAGGCCTCAGTTTTTTTCATCTGCAAAAAGGGAACAATAAAAATGCCCACCTTGATAGGGAGGGTGGTAGGGAGATGCAAGAGGGAGGAGATATGGGGATATATGTATATGTATATAGCTGATTCACTTTGTTATAAAGCAGAAACTAACACACCATTGTAAAGCAATTATGCTCCAATAAAGATGTTAAAAAAAAAAAATGCCCACCTCAGAAAGTCATCTTGAGTATAGTGTCTGGCACATGCAATAGTTAATATTATTTCAGTCACTTTTCAATCCTGTCTCTTTGAGATTACACCCAGTCACCATGACTTGACTGTTAAGTGATCCCCACTCAGTCCCACATCTGTAAACAATCTCTTGGCTTACTCCCACACATGATTCATTTATTATATGTAAATGTTATTAATTTTACTCTCTGGGGCAACTCACTGTCATCCTCTCGACCACCTACAGGTGTTCGTCTAAGTAGCACTAAGTCAAATGCTACAGAATCTTAATACCTCGCCTCATTTTAAAAAAGCTTTTTACCAACTTTGGAAGGAATGAAACAATGAGCATGGCATATGATACCCATGGAGCTCTCAGAATCTAAAATTTTATCAGGTTTGCTCTGTTACACTCAACAACAGAAAGTGAGACAGAGCCTCCTGTGGTGGACATTCCTAGCAGGGTTCAGTGGTACCTGTTGAGTGGCTGATTAGACAATGCTCCCTTGGTTTCCTATAAGTCCCTGTGCATGTCTGTAACACAGAGCTTACCTCGTGATGTTGGATTTATCCTCTTATGGGTCTGTCTTTCCAGCCTGACTATAGAATCCTGAGGGGCAGGAACCATGCTGATCTATCTTTATATCTCCCAGTCTTTAGCAGGGTGCTTGGAACATTGTGGGCACTCAGTCAACTTTTGTTGAACTAAACTTTTAGAGTTAAAACTCCTCCAAAAGGTGATTAATTTACTTAATAACTACCATGAGGATCAGTGTCAGCCAAGGAGGAAAATTCTTTCTTGACCAGTCAAAAGTCACCTCTCCAGAAACGCAGGTTACACTTCTTACTTTGCATTTTTTCTAAGGGTTAAGAACACTGATAGGATTCTGCTTCTCTCCAATTACAAAGAGAATATTTAAAAATGCCAACCTGGTCAGATCAATATACAGAAGCCAGTCGGCCATAGCAGACTCTAGTATCACAGAGCTTCAGCTAAGGCAACACAGTGGAGTCCTCTAGCTCTTCATCCCCAGAGGGAAGGCACAATTTCCCTAGGGATTAATCATTCACTCTGTAAGCCCCTCTCGAACTTCTTTATTCTCTATAATGTCCACCCAGGGGCAGTTCAAAGTATCCCAAGCAATACATGTAAAGTCTGTGGTCAGATATTTCATATATATATATATATATATATATATGTAAAACAGCACAAGATTTTCTCCTCCACATTGTCCACTACCTAACAGAAGATTCTGATCTTGATTCTTTCCTCATATCTTTTATAATGAACATATCTTTTGATATTAGCTCTTAGGCAAATGTCTTACATTATTTTTTAAAAGATTACCATAAAAAAAGCAGAAAACATTTTTCATCAGATTCTTGATGACAGCAAAAGGTCATGTGCAACAACAGAAGGGCATCAATTACTTACTAATTTTTAAACCAGTCTAAAAATTACTTCATTTCTCACCATTAGAATATCTTCAGGGCCAGTAGTAAGCTGATGAATAATTTGAAACATCTGGAAACATCTGCAACATGAAAAGTTTTAAGGTACTTTAGTCATCAAAAGCTTCACTAAATTAACTGATTTTAGGCTAATAGTAATCATATATTTATAAAGAACTAGAGAATAGGTTTTTCAAAAATTACATTGATCTGGAGGGATAATCAAATGACTGAAAATCATACGTTACTTTTAAGTGGGAGGTAATAGTTTCCCTTCTCCACCCCCCAACCCCTACCCCAAGTGGTAGCAGGAAACTGGGGAAAAAAACCAACAAGTCTATATTTTCAAGTCTAAAGAATACTACAATATAGTGTAAATTCACAAATCACTAAAAATACTGTCAACAGTCTGACAGTTGGAAAAAATGCTATATGTCAAGTTATACTCTCCATACCAGATGGCTACCCTATTCCTTTAACTACAAAAATCTGAATCCTTACATACTATTCACAATCGCAAAATAGAGAAAAAAAGAAGTATGTCCACAATCTCCCCAAACTCACTCTTCTAAAGTTCTTTTCTTTCCCTTGTCAATCATAGTCATCTGAGAGTGGATTTTAAGACCTGGCTTCTTGGCTATTAATTTCTTTATGGTATTGGAACTAATGGATCCATTCAAGTGGGCATGAAGTTCCTAAAATAAGAATACAATCAGTAAAAACTTCTCAAGTCCACTAGATTCATAGCATCATACCAGGTGCTTGATGTTTGTAATCTGTACTAGGCAAACTGCCTACTAGATGTAGCTATATAACTTTTAAAATGTACAAAGTTTGCAAATTCTACTTATAAAATGTACTTGTCTTTTGTGAAAAGAAACAACACAGAAGTCATTATAAGTAACAACACTCCAGATTCCTTGGTTGAATTCTCACCACTTTAGGTAATTCTGAGTAAAAGGTTGTCTTCCATGGCTGTTGTTCTTCTGCCTCCATCATGATTTAGCAGAAGAGCAAGGTCTTTCTCCAAACACTTATTCTTGGCATGAACAATACAATGTGGTTCAGTCAGTAAGTTCTGTGGTCTTGAATTTCCTTCAGATTGCTTCACTTCCACCCATTTTGATAAGATAAACAGTATGCATAGTTCTGGGCTCAGTTTCACCTATTTAAACAAATGTGAACATTTTCAGATGTTGATGCAAAAGCAAAGAAACAGGTTTTGTTAATTTATTCCTCTAAAGACAAAAGCTACTCCAAAGCTAACTTAAGTGAGCCAACAACCTGAACAAGAAACAAGAAAAGCCCTCAAGCTGGTAAGAGGTGAATTAAAATCTGAAATTTAGTAGGGTATATTCCTTTACCTATTAGCACTTTCTATAAAACTAATTCTAAAACTAGAAATTTATAAGACCTATTTTGGGTCCAAAAGTTTACATTTTTGAACTATTTTAAATATATAAAGGAAGAGGCATTGCAGTTGGATGGACCTAGGTTAATCCTTTTACCAGTTCTGCTCTTAAGTAGCTGTGTGGCCTTAGTCACTTTTAACCCCATGGCTTCAGTTTCTTTATTTGTAAAAATGGGATAAAAATTCGATAAAAATGCAGAGTAGCTGTGAGGATTAATAAAGTGCTTTAAATTCCCCTCTTCTATGTTCCCACATAATCCAGTGACTACCTTTAACTCAGCACTTTATCACACTGCATCTCAATCACTGATTTACTTGTCTTTCTTCCTCACCAGACTATATAAACTTCCTAAGAACAGGGACTATGGCTTATACTACCTCCCTAGCACCTGATAGGGATAGAGTAGGATAATTTAACAGTTACTTTAAAAATCCCACTAAAGGATTAAAGACAGAAAGGGAATTTCAAGGGAGTTTGGAAGACTGTTGTAAGCTAACGACCACTTAAAAAAAGAATCCAGTAACCTAGCAACAATCTACTCTACCTTGAAGGAAGAACAGGTGCATCCAAGCATCAGATGCACTCAAGCCACAAACCCTGATAGTTAAAACACAAGACAATAGATACCGGTCTGAATCTTGTTACATGAAGTCAGGGAGTTAATAGTCCTCGAAGAGTAGCATTTCTTTGTGTAGCCAAGACAGAAACACAGGGAAACAAACTATGTGAAAGGGGACATTATACTGAAACCTGAGATGAATTACCATATTTTAGTATATGTTACCACCTTTTTGCTAATACACATATGATTTAAATAGCAGCATGACAGTCCTGGTTAAATCCTTCAGGGCCAAAGGAGGAAATAATGATGTAAGCCTTGACGTCTGCCCAAGAATGAGGAAGAAGGTGGTCTTCTTCCCCTCCCAATTTTCTTTTGTTTATAAAAATGAACCGTCTCAGTCCTGGGGCAGAGCCTTCTCCCCTGCCCGCTTGCATTTCTTACAAGCATCCCATGCTAATAAACTCACTCTTTGGGAATTCCCTGGTAGTCCAGTGGTTAGGACTCGGCCCTTCCACTGCACGGGGCTCAGGTTTGATCCCTGGTGGGGGAATTAAGATCCCACACGCCGTGCAGGCGCAGCCTAAAAATAAAACAATAAACTCACTCTTTGCCTGCCACTTTCCCTCTCAATGAATTCTTTCGGCGCCAAGACAAAAGTACCTGAGTTTCAGTAAGTTCTGACACCAGGAGAGCGGTTTCAATTAAAAGACAGTGGGAACTACTGAGCCCGTGCGCCACAACTACTGAAGCCTAGAGCCCGTGTTCCGCAACAAGAGAAGCCACCGCAATGAGAAGCCCGCGCACCACAACGAAGAGTAGCCCCGGCTCACTGCAACTAGACAGAGCCCACGCACAGCAACGAAGACACAACGCAGCCAAAAATTAAAAAAAATTTTTTTTAAAAGACAGTGGGTTCGAGTCCCTCCTAAGTCAGGGATCATGGGTTCAAGTCCCAATCTGAGGTGCAGGTGGGTTCGAGCCCCAGCCCGTGGGTTTGAGTCCCACCCGAGAAGGAGTGCAGTTTCACACCTAGCACAGTGCCCAGCATTTTGTAGGTGATAAATAAATCCTAATTTCCCTTTACCTCTGAAGGTGGCTTATAAATTAAGACAAAATTCCAAGTGAAATTTAGTGATTTTTCAAAGTATGGTCCTCAGATATTAATGATGATGATGTTGATAAGAATAGCAGTTTCCATTCAGAGCCTACCAGTTAAGTGGCAAACACTTTTAATAATATTATCTATAATCCTCCCCGTAAGCTTGCAAAATAAATATTTTCACATTAAAAATCACTAAATTGATACTGAGAGGGTTAAATAAGTTACCAAGATATTAAAATGGGCAATTAAGAAAATAGTTTGTAGAGATATAGACAGAGTCATATAAATCCACAGAAAGGCTAACCCAATATGAGATAAATTTCAATAGAATTTCAATAAAATGCCATAGTAAGTGCTTAATAGTAACAAATGAAAAAAGATAGACTATTTAATCAATGTTTAATATCTCTACTGAAGTACATAAGAGATGTCATTAACACAGAAAAACATACCTTGACATAGTAAAGTCAATTTGTCATAAATTGACCTATAAAGTAAATATCAAAATATTCCCAAAATTATTCCTTAGAAATTGATTTTTAAAGTTCATGTGGAAGACTTAACTTGTAAAGTTATTCAGAAAAAAATCTGAAGCTCAGAAGAATACCCAATATGGGTGAAGGTGAGAGTAAAAGTTCTGGTGGGAGCAGAACTTGGTATGATATTTTTGGAAGGTACTTTGGCAACACACACACACACACACACAAACCCACATACTTTTTGACCCAATAATTATACTTTTAGGAATTTATCCTGTATCTTATAGGATACGTACAAATACACTTCTTGTAGCATTATTTATAACAGCAAAAAATTGGAAACAACCTCCATGTCCATCAGTAGGGTACTGGTTAAATTAATTGTATATCCATCCAACTGAATATCTATGACTATATGGAAAGACTTCTATAATATAGTGTTATTTCCAAAAAGTTGCAAAAAAACATTGTTCACAAAGATGACCTTTATAAACAAAGCATGTGTGTATACACACACACACTCTTATTTATATATATCTTTATTCCTAAAATAGGTATGAAAGGATACATAGAAAACTGTTCGCACTAGAAAGTGGGTTGGAAGCGGCAAAGGTCAAGGGACAGAATTTTATTTTTACTTACCTTATAAAGTTTTGTGCAATTTGAAGGTTTTACAACTTGCATGTAATATCTGATTACTTTTTGAAATAATTTTAATAAATTAAAATTTAAGTAATAAATTTAGATAATTAATTCACTTATTACTTTTAATAAATCAATTAAAATAATTAAATTATTTTACAGAATTGTTCATAAAATAAATAACTTTTACAAACCTTGCAAAACAGCTTTATTAATATGAATTACGAGAGGGAAGAACTTTTACGTTTAGACAACAGAATGACAGCCTGAAAAAGCATTTAGGACATTTTACATAGCAGGCTGTTAACAAATGTTACAGATGGCTAACTTTTCGTATAAATTTTCAGTCCTACTCTAGGATCCTGACCTGATTTTGTGGCACATTTCAAACCACCCTCCAGATTGCCCCTTAACTAGTCATGAGTAAATTTACTGACCCAATAGCTACAATGTTAACCTATGGAAATTTGAAAACCACCAAAGCAAGCACAGTTTTTACACATTTTAAAAAGTTGTTTCACTGATCATTACCTAAGCTATTGCTATCAACAATTCCATGCCCTGCCAGATTCAGTCTGCCTGAGCTGGCTTTGGCATAGATCAGAAGCAGATGGGGTGGGAGTGATGTGCCAAACGGCAACACATTGAGATAAGATCTGTCTACATTTGTACTAATATTTCATCAAGTTAGAACAGGGCCAGAACCAGGTCTCCTGTTCTCCTGGAGCAGGGGTCCCCAACCCCCGGGCCACGGATCGGTATTGGTCCCTGGCCTGTTAGGAACCGGGCCGCACAGCAGGAGGTGAGCGGTGGGTGAGCAAGCGACGCTTCATCTGTATTTACAGCCACTCCCCATCGCTCGCATTACAGCCTGAGCTCCACCTCCTGTCAGCATTATGGTGAGTAAAATTATTTCATTATATATTACAATGTAATAATAATAGAAATAAAGTGCACAATAAATGTAATGAGCTTGAATCATCCGAAACCATCCCACCTCCCACCCCCGTGGAAAAATCGTCTTCCACAAAACCGGTCCCTGGTGCCAAAAAGGTTGGGGACCACTGTCCTAGAGAACTTTTTGACTCCCCGCCCTCCACCCCTGCCCCCAAAAGGGAACTCAGGATAATAAAAACACTTGTTACTATTTATTAAGCACTTAGTATGAGCCAGGCATTCTGCTAAATGTCTTGGATGGTAATTTTACTCGATTCTCATTAACAACCCATGAGGTATTACTGTCTCATTTTACATAAGAAAATATAGATTTTTAACAAATAACCAAAAAACACCTGTAAGGCACCCAAATCACAAATTTTGCTCCATTCTCTTTCTTGTTGAATCATTTTTCTTGATCTGTTCTTTACCAAAAAAGTAGTATTTCTAATATATCATGTACATTTTACTAACTTGTCATATGAAATTTCATTTCTACAGCACAGTGTATTTTTTTTCAAAGCCCTACAACTTTTTTTTTCTCTTTGACCCTCGATAATCCCTGAAACACCACACAAAACAGCACTTAATCCCCTCATTTTAGAAATTATCTCAAAGTCCAGCAAGCTCAGGGGAGTCCTTCTCCCATTCCAATTCCAAACTCCTCAAGCGTTCCATAGACCCAGCTGCCTCAGGCTGAACTTTACAACTCAGTCACTGCCTTTATAGAGACAACGAAAGCCTTCAGACATGAATTCCCTCTATTTCTCTCTGCTTTCCCTCACACTTAAATTTATCTTTATCTATACCCCTTCTTCCCTCATGAATCAGAGAAAGAGGATTCATTCTCCTGTCCCCAAGACTAATTTGTGCCCAGGATCCCATTTCTTCCTATCTATTCCAAGTCATTACTCCACTAATCTTCTCACTTTTCTGTTCATCAACCTCTCTCTCTCCAGTTGCTAATTTCCCTCAGGG